AGATTACGGAAGGAGTAACGCTCTGATTTCTGACTGTGGCGAAATTCTATCACAATGGCTTCCCATGCAAATACCCACATGTAGGATATGAACAATATTTTTTTACTGCAAATCGCTTGTACCTATTTTCGTACACATTCCAACTTATGTACTTATATATGTATGTACAAAGTATATCCCTTACAATTACAAGCATATCTGTATGCACACCTCGTCCTTCCGGCAATAAACAGGAAATCCCTTTGAGTGAAAAAGGACGCGCGTAAATATCAGTTGACATTATTGCATTTTTGAATTGGAGCAGACAAGCATTCCAAGGCATGCCAATGCTACAGCCTTGAATATTTCAATACCGTCGGGCGGACTAGCGACCAACCAGCCAGACCGCCAACAGCCAACAGGCCTTCACAGGCCATATCGTGACATTGCGGTAAACTGTCCTATCTCTCAGCCATAGCTAAGCCATGTTCCATGTATATTCATTAAACTGTTTAAATGTGTTTGGGTAGGTGTGCATGTGGATTATATTTGAAAAACATTTTTGTAACATTTTTGTAGATGTAAATTTCTGCGAAGAGTGTGCGAGTAGGTGTGTGTTTACATACACATATGTACAATAAAATTAAAGAAGTTGGTAATGTTAGAAAGCACATAAAAGCAATAAAATGCGAAAAAATGGTTTTCTTCTAGTGAATATTATTGCTTGTATAAATTTTCACATATGTACATACATAAATACGTAAGTATGTATAATTATGACGCTACTGAAAATCTTAAGTAGTGTATAAAGTTTCCTTAGTTCAAAAAAAAAAAAAAAAATAGCTATATACAAAGATGCATATGTATGTCATACTCTACTTATGTTGCTATTTTATGATATTTTTCATATTATAAAATAACGATGAAAGGCCATCTTGAGAAAAGCTGCCTTGAAAAAGACTTTAGCGAATTGCAACAAAGCTTACAATTGTGGAGTCTTACGACTTTAGAGAACTGTGTTTAGTCTTCAATATTTGTCAGGGGTACATATTTTTCTGTCCTTGATTATTTAGGTGAAAGTTTTCTCCTTAAATTCTCAATGTCGTAGACCTAACATTCAGAAGAGACGTGTATATATGTCACTGCTGGCTACTTGGTTCTTTAGAAATAGAGGTTCAGTAATTTGAAAAAAATGCCTAAAAATTAATTTTGTGTTTTGATTAATAACTATTTTTTGATGATAAAAACTGTTGATATTATAAAGTGGCTCTATGAATGTAACCCAGTCATATGAGCACCGAATACTATAAAGCCTGTGGACGCAAAAGAGTCCGTTACCCTGCCTTTTGAATGGCCGTAAAGCCAAATTTAAATGTGACTTCAGCAATTCACACCAGAGTTCAATCGTCAGTCATCCATGTGGACTTAACGCGCTGTAACGATTCCAAAATAGCATAAAGAAAAAGTTTGAACGACTATGTATAAAAAAGACTATTATACGAGTGTCATTGACTGAACGGCGAAATTTCAGTACAAGAGCCACTATTGTTGAAGAAGAAAGTAATGCTTCACCAATACTACGAACTATGTCACAAATCAATAAAAACCTTAGCAAAATTGCGCGAGTTGTGCTTCGAATTGTTTTTGCATCCACCGTATTCTTCGGACTCTACCCCTGAGAGAATCCTCACTTATTGTTTGTGATTTTACTTAGAACTTCACAGCCTGCTTGGCAAATTGACAAAAAACTGTTTAAGCTCAACGGCAAAACATACCTTCTTATCCTAATAGATTCAATACACTTATCAGGTCTGAAACCCCATTACTTATTACTACTAGTACAAAAAAAGTTCATTTTTATACTTCAATACTGTATTATAAACAAAAGTTTGATCTCATTAGTAGTATTTAGTAGTTGTTTTGTGGACTTAAAACCGATTAATTCAGAAGTAGTTTCTACTTCACCAGCCCTGAATTTTGTGTATGTATGTACATAGTAATAGGTAGGTAGTACCACTAGGTTAGTTCTAAAACAACTTTTTCTCAATATTAGCCGACCCTTCTAACATAAGAAAATTTATATAAAGAGTATACTTGTCTTCGATTGGTTACTTCTCTGTTTATTATATTTGAAGTACGCTCTCTCGTAAAAAAATTTGCACATGAAGCAAACACAAAGTTCTGTATTTGAAGCCAATAGAAGAGGGCTGAAAAACTACTCACTTAAGAACTTTAACCGCTTGTTATCCCCTCTATACAAAAACATATATCACACTGATAAACACTGTTTTTGTCACACGAACTTTGTAATCGCAGCGTCGTAATTTCACGCGGTTTTTTGAACAGTGCTATTTAGACAATTTTGGATTTCCTATTACGGATCACAATAAATACTGAGCTCCACATAAATGTTGTATAACGTATGTGAGACTGATAATACGTTGAGCTAAACAAAACTCCAGTCAAAAGCCATAAATTATTGTTATTTTCGTTTGACTTAAACAAAAGGCAAACACACTATCCAGTATCCAAACTTGTCTTCGGCCAACAGACCCATCCTACATAGTGCCGAACTGCCTGTGCCAAAGCCTCCAAATCGATATATATGTATGTATATCTGAAAGTGAAATCCCAAAAACTCAGCGTGGCAAAAATTTAAGAGTAAATATTTGCAGCTCCACAAATACGGTAACTGATAAAAAATAAGAGCTTTGAAGAAAAACTGAAAGACCAGGAAAAACTCACCTGGAAATGTGTTGTGAACGTTGTCAAAAATGGAAAATTACAATCACTTAATAAATGAACATGTAATAATGTCATATAAAGTTTTGGGGCATAATATGTCCTTGAAAATACATATGCTAGACTCTCATCTGGATTTCTTTCTGGCGAATTTGGGTGCAGTGAGTGAAGAACAAGGCGAGAGGATTCATTAGGACATTTCCTTAATGAAGAAGCGCTATCAAGGGAAATGGAATGCTAGCAAATTTTTGTAGAAGTTTTAAAAAAAGGAAGGTCGATGCCAATTATTCACGAAAATCATAAGTATTTTTTCTATATTAAACAATAACTTCCCTAAATGTAGCTGATGTTTGTATTTCTTAAGAAAATATATGTATGTTTTGATAAGAAAACCTGACGTGTCAATTTTTTTTCATTCACACATGTTTAGTGGCTCTAGTACATTCAAAATTTAATATGAGTAAGTTTCATGTGACAAAAAAATGTTAAAATTTTGTTGAGTAGTGTTATTAAACTGGTACACAGTTGGTTGTTCGATTCACTATTCTTCAAGGTTTTGGAAATGCATCCAGACTCATCCTATATTTAATACTCATCGTATATGATATACTTATGAAAATACTTATGAAGGTTATATTATATTATCGACATGAGAGGATGAAAAAACCTTAATGTGAAAGTTTAACTATGCAATATTGGTAAGCATCTGAGCCGCATCACAGTATTTAATATGAAAATATTGTATGTATGTACTTATAAATATATCTCTCAAAATGTATATAATATTTTCTTTGAAAGTCTTTTATTACAGCTATATACATACATAAATACTTACAAGGCTCATTCTATCAAGTATTAATATTTATTTATCTAAGCCCTTTTTTATTATGTTAGTTCGCAGAAATCTCACGCGGCCTTCATTTCATCTATCATTAATATTTGATACACTCGAACATACGAGTACATAGCGCATATATACATACATATATGTATATGTTCGTAGAAGACTTAAGAAGCGTAATTTATTAAATATTCAAATGTGACTTCTTATATTCCCAAAGCAACACTTTTGCCAACAGTTCAATACTCGTTTGTATACAGTAGTCTCGGAATTTATATATGCATAAGAGAGTACAAATGTACATAGTATGTATGTATGTGAATAAATTTTTATATTGATATCTTTAAACTCATGTATGCTGAAATGTACAGTTATATGCAAACATCTAGACTAATATTAATCAAGTACATACTCACATTTGCAGACAGCTGTTCACACATTGATAACTACTCACACATGTTTGTAAACATGTATGAGTGCTCATGGTTTCTATTCTCGGAATGATGAGCCTGTTATATTGTAATCAATGAAAAACGCATTTGATATCTTCAATATGTTTCACTTGTAAATGCAAATGCAAAAAATATCTATATACTCATACACAAATGTTTCTATGTATTTATAGAGTATATGAAAATCTATTTATGTATGTATTTATGACACCATATGTCGACACAATACTGAGAATGGGTAAATATTGGAAGATGTTGTAGTAAACACTAATGTAATATGCGTGATAAAGATTCAATGAGCTATAAAATGGAGTCGAAAGAAGTAAGGGGGAGTTTTTATCAAGAGTGACTGAAAATTGGAAAATGGAAAGAAATCAGTATTCCATTCACGACTTCTCTGTACGTTATATTTGAACTCTGATCTCTTGTTAAAAAATCTGAAGGCAACAAAAAAGTTACATCGTTGTCAAAAGAGTATAAAACAAGAAAAACAGTTAACTTCAGTTGCACTTAATTAAGCTATAATATGAAATAATATAATGAAATATTTAGATACACGTTATTCGAGATCGACCACTTGAATCTGGTCAATTTGTCACAGTAATTTTCTCAATGAGCCGAGTGAGATCATCTATTAAATTCAACAGTGAAATAAAGGCATATTGTACAAGTATGTTTTAATTTTTAAGGTTTTTTAATTACCGATTCAACTTTCATCGATTCGATAATGATATTGACATTCACTAACAAATTTCACGTCCACCGTAAAATAATCTTAGAGTCTTATAGTATGTACGAGTATGTAGACCATAGCATATATTCAGAAACTACTGAAACAAAATACTTTGCGCTCATTTTGTAAAATTGAAGGCCGACGCTCTTGCTTTTATAATACAGCTTAAGTCATAACTTAAAGTTTATAGACTACATTATTGGAACAGAGCAAAATAATACCTAGAATTTTGTCTTTGACTTTATTTTTCAAGGTCTTTAAAAGTAATTTTTCCCACAATGAATACTACTTCACCCAAATCATCCCTCGCCAAATTGGGTATACACACCACCAAGCATAAATCACTAAAAGTTATGGTGTTGGGGCAGAGCGGTGTTGGAAAATCAGGTAAGATCAATAAAAATGCAATTATGTAATATGCCATGTGTCAAAAGCGTAAATTTTAACCGACCTAACTTCACTTTTCTAATCGTATACGCATTCAATTATTTCTTTATATATGTACATATGTATATTATGTACATATATTTTTTACACCTACAGCTATGGTTGTTAGATTTATTACTAGACGGTTTATTGGTGAATATGATCCTAATCTAGAGAAGGTTTATACTCACAACACCACATTTGACAATGAGCTCATACAGTTTGATATACTGGACGCGGCTGGACAACCCAATGTGAGCATACACGGAACTTATTTTCACATTAACTTCCATTTAAAGTACCTACTTTTAGAAAGAAGATTGCGTCAGTTTGGACTCAAACATACGTTGGGCGGACGCTTTCATACTAATGTACTCGGTAACCGATAAATGTAGTTTTGATGAGTGTAATCGACTGAAATTTTTGATCAACTATAATAAAAGGCGACGTAAACTTGGTTCAAATAGTAAGGTGAGTAAAAATATTGATGAATGAAAGAGTGTCGAAGTGAGGCTGCTGAGGACCTAAGTACATAGCACCACAACGAAATAATTACAACAGTTCCATGGTCTCGTCACTAAAACTTCTGCGACATTTCTTTAAGCAGAAAACGTCTGAAGATTAGTTCCAGCGCCAGTATTAGTTCCCATTTGTTGAGAATTCTTGAACTTTTAAATTATTACTACACATAATTTCAATTTAGAGGTTATACCTATAATACATTTCTACAATCCTGTAGGACTCTCTCTCGGATGTGCCGGTCATTTTGGTGGGCAACAAAACAGATCAAACGGGCGATCGCATGGTGAGCATTGAAGAAGGTCAACGACGTTTTCGTGATCTAACATGTGTCTGCTTTCATGAGATCTCTGTTCGAGAGAGTGTTGATCAAGTGGGTGGTATATTTATAAAATTTCTCATTAGAATATGTAGTATGTGTAAATCGAACAGGTTCAGGCAGTGTTTCGCGATGTATTTCGCTTTTGGCGTGTCTTCAGCAAGTTTCCCAAACTGAAACGTTCCACCAGCGACGTACAAAATGCTTCCGATTCAGCGCTGAGCCCCGATTCGGGTTGCTCCTTCTACGATCCGTCATCGTATAACAGTGAAACACGTAGATCCTTTTTCATAAATGGTAAATAGTTTCTAATAAAATCTATATCTTAATAACATATATAACGTTAAAGCCAATACCTGCCTGGAGGAGACCGACCACACAGAATCCACCGATGAACTCGGTTCCGGTAGCCTCTGCAGCTCTCGTTGCGAAATGGATACACCATTTCGCAGTAGAGCTTCCACAGATGGCACATTATTGTCGCGTCCACGTCGCTGGCGTTATCCACCACCTGGTTGTCTAATGCCACACACCAATCGTGTCGAACGTCGCATGAGCATCTCAACTCGTGGCAGCAACGCCAGCTATTGACTACTAATGCATCACTGAGAAGCGCTCGGCTTCAATAGTAAGTGGTTGTTGCTGTGACAAGTTTTAATTATGTACATAATTACAAGGCTTTGCTCATTGTACAAAAACAATTGTAATTATTTTTGAGTATGTAATAAAAAAGATTCAATATGCTAAATGGGGGCGCGTTGCACGCTTATTGATAGACTACAAGTATTTATTATAAAATGAAAATTATTTATTACGATTACATTAGGATATACCTACACATGTAATGCTGATGTTTTATACATGTATTTTTCTATGTACTGATTGTATTTATGAGATAAGTATTTATTAAAGGTTTCATAGATGTATTGAATAATAAAACTAAAAACAAAACGTTTCTTGGCTTTCAATCGTTTTCTGGTTCTTCGATTGAAATCCTGCTCGACGAGATAAGTATTTGTCATTACCGCCCGATGCCGTCACTATTGCAAGAGAAATTTGCTATCTTCTAGTACATTACCGCAATTTGGTTTGGACTGCGTTTGGAAGAGATCGATCTACAAATTTTTAGAAAAAATGAAAAAGAGCAAAATCACTCTGTGATTCGATTATTATTTTTAGAAGGGAAATCACAGAGTGAAATTAAAGAGCGCTTGTATGTTGTATATTACTCTTCTCATTCGATGGCGGCCGTCAAAAATTGGCTTAACGAGCCACTTTTTGATGAGCCAAGGCCTGAAAGCGGCGACAGCAGAGGATAACTTAACAAAATCCACCAACTCACTTTATTAGACCACTGTGTGAAGTTGTACGAGAAAGCTGAAACAATAGACATTTCAAAATACTACGTGACATGCGAAGAAACAAAGATCCACATGTACACTCCTGAAAGCAAGGAACAGTGGGCTACAGCCGGAGAATTTGTTCCTAAGAAGGCGAAGACTATTCTATTGGCCAGAAAGCTGATAGCCACCATTTTATTAGATCCCCATCGAAGAGTTAACCGTAAAGAAACAAATAAAGGTTCTTGAATCAGTGCCATTTATTGCTATTTGTGAGAAGCAGTTTTTTCTACAAGATATATTTTTATGCAGCAACCGTTAGGCAGAGTAATAAATATCTAAAAAAAATATATAAAAGATTAGCATTTAACGGCCGCACTCAATCAAGCCACTTAATATTCTTCATCGATTTTCAGCAGATACTCCTCGGCACGCAGAGCCAACTCGCGTATGTTACGTAGACAACCGGCCGCAGCCAATTGTGTTTCTTTGTTCGTGGAACCAACGCATTCCAGCAAAAATGGCACAACACCGCTCTGGAAAATATAGAAATTATGCGCTCACCTAGCTCAAAAATTATTATGTAGAACGCACCTGGTGCATAATGATGCAGTTTTGTGGATCCATGGATAATTTTTCCAGCGCCATGGCTGTAGTGCGATGTACGGCTGGATCATTACTGGTCAAGTAGCTGACAATGGGCGTGACAGTGCGTAGACGACCCAACTCCTGTGTGTTATTGCCAAATGTGGCGCAACTAGCAATTGCGGCGGCCAGATTTTCACGCAACAAATCCTCGGTAGTATTCACTGGAAAAAATTAAACATTATATAAACATTCAATCTATTGTATTTTAAATCGAGAAACTAACCCAAATCAGCCAACTTATAGATCACTTTAAGATCAGACAAAATCGCTAGATTTGTAGTATCCTTTGCAATTGTTGCTATAGCAGCGCAGACAGCCGACAATACTTGCGAGTCGGTGGACTTAAGCAAATCCACAACCAATTCCATGGCACCCACCAAACTACGCACCAACTCACCCGATTCGCGTGCATTTCGCACACACGGACAAATGGCATAGGCGGCATAAGCTTGAACTTTGGGATCGGTATTCTTTAGAAGTGACCAAATCAAACGCACCGCATCCAAATCCTCCAAAATCCGCATGCTATCTATATCTTCGGCACACTCTTTCAATGCTTTCGCCAAGTTTACCAACAGCGGTGGATGGGAGGAGTTCAATAATGCCACCAAGGCCGTCAAGCCACCAGCGCCACGTAAAACTTCACGATTATTTTGAAAACGTACACATTCGGAAATGGCCCCAACCACATTGGTGATCACATCGTCGGAATCATCATTCAATAACGGTATGAGATGATTAATGAGACGTAGTGAGTCTAGTTTCTTGACATTCGCCTCCGACACGGCGCTCATCCAAATCGCACCGGCAGCGCCGATCATCAGTTTCTTGTTATCACGCACATTTTTATCCTTGATTATGGCGACCAAAGGTTCTAAGCCACCCGCGGAACGTACCAAATCACGTGTAGTCTGATCGAAGGCACACTTGTAAATGGCAGTGCTACCTTCGGTCTTCAAGTCCAAGCTATCTGAATGTAGATGGGTCACAATATCAGCGATCATGCCCTCGGTAGTGATGGCCAGTTGAAATTTGGGCTGCATTTTGTTAAAATATGTGATTTAAATTCATTATATCAAATATAGACAACATAAGTATTAGGCTTATTCATTCGTAGTAGTTAGGCCTATTCGTCCGAAGTATTAAACTTGCTATTTGTGTGCCTTTATCGACGAAAGCTTTCCGTTCATCTATGAAACATATGACAAATACTATATTGTTACCTTTGCAACATGTTGCTACAGAGTATAATAGTTTTGTTCACCGGGTGACTGTCTGTTCACATGTTCCTTGGCACTATTAAAAGTTCTAAGCCGCAAATTAAACTATTAAACTGTAATTTTGTAATTTGGTGCAACGAATCGCATTAATGAAACCTCTGGGTTTGGACTTAGCTCAGGTAACTCTCACGCTACGACGTGATGTGATTTAAAAGTTCTGAGCTGACCTCACGGGTAACTGGTAGCCAGCTTCCCCTGAAGTCACCTTGCGACTTAAAAATCAAATCATTTCGTTTCACGAGAGTCTACTAAACACTGGCCAGGCACAGATAAGCACTGTGCCTGGCCAGTGTTTAGGTGACTCTCTCGCCTCGATGTGATGTGATTTAAAAGTCATGCGCTGACCTCACGGAAAACTGGCAACCAGATGGCTCTATATAAGTAAAGCAGGCGCCGGACCTGGCCAGTGCTTAGGTGACTCTCGCGCCTCGATATGATGTGATTTAAAAGACATGAGTTGACTTCACGGAAAACTGGCAGCCAACTAGATCTATATAAGTAAAGCAGGCTTCGTGCCTGGCCAGTGCTTAGGTGATTCTCACTCCTCGATGTGATGTGATTTAAAAGTCATGACGAGAAGAGGAAGACACAAAGTGACTTCAGGGGAAACTGCATGTTTGGCTTTAGAAATGAACATAACACTGTTAATCCATCGGATCATTAGAATAAGAAAAGTCATAAGGAGCATTTCACAACGAACCAATCTACAGTCATTGTATTAATGGACATCAGAGCTGGTTTTGACTCAGTGTGGCATGATGGGATCCTTTACAAAACGAATCAATTTAACTTTTCGCTTGAATTCATTAAAATCGTTGAAAACTTTTTAAAAAAGTAGTTAGTAAAAGTAGTTTCTAAGTTCATATTGGTAGTAACCTGTCTCCATATATCGAAATCCCAGTCGGAATTTCTCAAGGCACTTGTTTCTTCTAGGTAACTTTCTGTAGATATAATCACTAATTTACAATCAGCTCTTAACGTTTTGCGTAATTATTTTTCTAAATGGAAGATTTTTATAAACCATCATAAATTGTGTGCAGATATCTCGTGAAATAATAAGGTTTTCTATACAGGCACTTGTTTTTAATCGGTCAGTTTGTATGACAACTATATGCTATAGTAGTCCAATCCGAAAAATTAACAAAGGGGTCATTGAACCAAAATGAAAACACATGTTGTTGTCTTGGCTAAATGTAAAAAGGCCGAGCGGACACATGCGAAAATAATTACTATCACCTCGGGGTTAAATTAAATTCTGTGGCTGACTCTTGGATATGGTTTAGTTATTTCAGTCATATCCTTTGTGATGCTGATAATTCTAAAAGACAAAATAAATATTTATATTCAATGTATATCGGCAAAGCATTGAGAAACATCTGCTGATGTGTCTAATTTCGGTAATAAAGCCAAGGTACTTTAGGACCTTCAAGTGCTGATTTCACTCCGTCATTTTTCAGATAACCTCGTCAGTGGAGTTCACGCAAAATCTGTAGGCTATAACTGGATATTTCTATTCATCCCGAGCTAGAAGGAGCTGCGGCAGATTTCATAAAGCCCAACGCTCCAATAATAGACCGCAATAAGGTAAGGCAATCCGAGATTTAACATATGTCTTTGTTTAAACGCAAATATTTTTGACTGCCAGAATTCAAAATGCACATGCATACCTGCGACGCACATTCCTGTATGGTGCCCATAATAGGTATTACAACATCTGTGTGACAAGACTTGAGCAAACGCGCCATCAGTGGTACGATACCGCTCTTACGCATCAACTCCTTATTATGGCGAGATAGTGAAAGCGACCATAGGGCACGAGCACCGGCACGTGCCATGTACAAACACTCCAAATCGGATGAGTTGAGTTCCTCCAGCGGAGTTTGCAATATACTACCATATAAATTAGTACTTAACTGTTATAGAAAAAGCAAAAAGTCTAACTCTACAACGTGCGCAACGTACGTACCGCAAACTGACATCAAGCATATCCACCAACATCGGTATGCCACCACATGTGCGTACATATTTTCGGGCTAAACGCACCTTACACACATTAGCCAATGTTTCACCTGCCATTGTCTTAAGTTCCTTCGAGAGCGAGTTCAAAATATCCACTATTAAAGGTATGCCACCCAAATCGACAATCGTCTTACGTATATCAATATTCAGTGAGATCTCAGAGAGCACATACAGTGAACCCAAACGACAATTGGTATCATTGCATTCGAGTATATTGACCAACACCTCCAAACCACCAATATCTTGTACAGCCATTTGATTGATTTGCGTGCGCAAATCGTAGTCACGCAGGCAGCATAGCGACACAATGGTCGCCGTTTGATTGCCCGCTTTAATATATTTGATCAACTTCTGTATATTATAATATTCGGCGGGTATTTCAACAGTGCGTGCAATGTCCTTCCACCTTTCCTCCTCCTCGGTAGACGATTCGACTTCGGTAGAATCGGAATCTTCCGTTACAATAGTTTTCTTGCTGCCAAAAAAACGT